CCTATTTCATGCGAAACTTCTTTAACTTTTGGGAAAAATTCATTATAAAACAACTATTTATCACACGAACTAGCTAGACCATTTTGTCGTAAAAGTTATTAATACTAGTTGGCTCAATTGACATTGTTCTTTGAAGCTTCAACCAATACATAAAATTTTCACAAAGTATAGATTGTACAGAAAATTAAATGGAATTTCTAGAATCCAGTTCATTGTAGATCTAATGATCTATGCGAAGTTGCATACAGTAGCAACAAAAAACAATCTTAGCGAAATGTTCATCCACAATGAACTTCACCAAAACAATAAGCTCCAGAAAAATACAAAAATGACAGTCTCAAAATTTGAATGAAAAATCACTTTCCCTAACAAGAAATTTAAACAATGTAAAAAATATTCGAAAAACTACAAAATTGACCCTTATACCTAGAAGAAATGTTTGAAGCCTATCGATGTCCTCACTGGACTTCTCCGTTGGACTTCAACTTCACGAAGAAGCAACCGGAGAACAAGCGATATATATCCCGATCTAGAAGACAAAATAAGCTTTTAAACCGATGTGAGAGGAAAAAGAATAGACTTGGTGAAAATTGGTAAAAAAATCTTTCCAGAATTAGAGTTGCCTGTGTGCATTTGGCCCCTTTCACCGTTGGATTCGCCCTCCAATTTTTTCTCTCTGTAGTTTCAAACGCGAATGTCGAAAGAGAAAATGAGACCGATGTGTCTATTTTTTAGAATTTATAATTTTAGCCTAGACACGTGTGCTCAATATATATTTTGAAGGGTTTTTTTTTTTTTTTTCACTCTAAACCGCTGTATTTATTTTTACGAGATATATAATAATATTTTATTATATATATAAATTGATAATATTGTTGTAATAATACGTAAAAATATATAAGTTTTTTTAAAAAAATAAATTAAGTGAAAAATATCATTACTAAAAAACAAATAATTTAATTTTAAATGAATAAAAAAGACAAAATGAATTAATTGATTTGAAACCAAGTATTTTTTCCATACACCAAATTTGTATTTGCTTTTTATTTTTTTCACATAAAACATGAATTTTCTATTTATAGCATATCTTTGAAATTTATATTTATTTACAAAAATATCTTAATTATTTACACATTCAATCTATCAATTTTTTTCACTTCATTAATTCATTAATATACCTTCCAAAAAATCTCATGCTTTATGTCACAATAAATAAATATTATATTATATTTATTAAAATTTATATATAATTCAAATGAATGTGTATTTGATGAACGAAGAAATATACTCAGTGGTGGACAACAAGATTACATACGTCCATGTGAAGCCCATAAATATGAATAACCCCACTATCATATAACTACTTTCTAATTATTTATTTCTTTCATTTAAATTATTTCATTCAATGTATAAGTGGAAATTGCACAATTTAAAAAGAAAAAAACAATAATATTACAAGGAAAATGACTTTGAAAGTCACATCATTGGCTTCCAATATAAATTCTTATTACATTCTTGCAACGGATGTCTAGTGATGTGACGATGAACTTAAAGATTCAAATTTTTACGTCTTTAGATTTTATTTATCACAAACTTATCTTGTCGGATCTAATTTATATGCTATTAAATTTAGCTGTAAATTCCAACGTAAAAAAAAAAAAAAAAAAAAAAAGAGCAAAATCTCAAAAATAAATTTGTGTTTGTAGGTTATTTTAAGGAGTTGGATTGGGTGCTGATTAGGTAAAATTTATTATCTATAAATAATAATTGAATAGTAGAAATTGTTAAAAAGTTCAAAATTAATGGATTCAAATTTCGTCAGATTTTAAATATATTCCATATATTTTTATATGTATATGAAATGGTAACTAGATACGTTCTAATTTCTTATATAATATTAAGAAATTTATGAATATCATAAATAACGTAATTTATATGGTTTTGACGGATATCTTCAAAATGAGAATATTGCAAAATGTTTTAAATAATTTGTGCTATACTTGACGGATATCAAGTATAGAAATTGAGAAAAGAAATGCGGTCAAATTATACTTAATTACACAAAAAATCTAAAATTAATTAAAATACAAATCCAATCATTTAATTTAATTTATTTACTTAAAAATTTCTGTTATATTTAGAGTTGTTTATTTTTTATTTTAAACAAAAATTTATATTACTAAATCAGTATATAATTATAAAAATATATTATTTTGTGTCACAAAATTTTATACTATTGAAAAAAATTTTAAATCAGATATTAAATTCAAATTAAAATCAAACAATTTTTTTTAATAATTTTCATATATTAATTTTATGAATAGTTTAATACTTTATCGCCTCGTCACAGATCACCTTTGTTTTTTTTTTTTTTTTTCTCAATATAAATTTACCCTTTCTCTCTTTGGTAAATTTAACAACCTTAAAACATATTTAATAAATATAAATCAATTTAATAAAATTTCACATATTTATAACTTATCTTTGATAAATAAACATTTTGATCTAAATTTAAAATTTTAAGTTTTTTTTCTATAAAACTAATTTATATTAATTATAGATAAATAAATATTTTTTTATTTATATTATCAAATTTTACTCTTTTACAAAATAATATTCAATTATATAGTTTTTTTTTTATTAAGATATAGTTTAAAATATTTAAATATATATTTTAAATTTCTTTTATTATATATATATATCAATTTTTATTTAAAAAAATACTAACAACGTCACTTTTTAAAAAAAAAGTAATAAAATAATATTATAATAGTTATAATTAATCTATTAAGCTAATTTTTGAGAATGAGATCATCCAACCCATAAACGGAGAGAATATTACATATTAATTACTTCGATTGTATAAGTAATTTTAAAAATTTAAACTGATAGGCCACATTAAATACGTCACAGATTTTGAGCATTTAGAGTCATTCTGCATTCAATATTTGAAAATAAAAAATATTATTTTTGTTTATTTCAAACTCACTGTAATGTTTTTAAATTTAGAAATAATTAATACTTCGTCCGTCCGTTCCAATACAATAATCATGTTTATCATTTTTGTCCGTTCCAAAACAATAGTTTCATTTCCATGAATAACCATATCACTATAAAATTATCCTTACTTTTTTTCATTATTATTACACAATTGCCACTATTTTTTATAATAATACACTCACAAGGGTTAAAAAGTTTTTTATCCATACTTTTTACTCACTATCAATATAATATCAATATTTTTTAAATTCCGTCAAACACAACTCAAATTATAGTTCTTGAACGGAAGGAGTAATATTTATATATATTAATATACATTTCACTTTATCCCATCAAATAACTCAAATAAAAAAAACAAATAATCAATTATCTCTCCAATCACATCACTAAGTATCCAAATTATCTCAAATTATCGTACTTAATGCTCTCCACTTAAATTCTCATGCCAAATACAAATGTTGCACAGTGTTTGAGACGAAGGGAGTACGTTTTAGAAGTGGAAATTTGAAATAAATTACACCTAAGTAAAAAAAATATTTGAGGAAATATTTTACGAAAATAATACTAATAATTAACAATATATAATTGTTCTTTAGTGTAATAGTATCTCTATATTACCCATGTGCATTTTCTGTGACAGCTGCGAATTCTAACATTATAAAAAAAAAATTGTCTCTATTTTATCATTTGAGTGTTTATAAATAATATGCTCATATTATATTCAGTAAATAAAATATATAAATTTTATTATGTTTATTATTATTTTTTATCTATTTATATAAATATCACTCATATTACACTCATTTATTTTAATCTAAAAATTATAATCTAATAAAATTTCAATTTTTTTTTTTAAATAATTTTATTAGGTTACTTGACACAACTGTTGCTTGTAAACAACAAAGATCTTTTATCAACTTTCCCTGACATGTGGCACTCATCTGTACACCCTGGACCACCAGGATTCATATATTTTTTTTCTTTATTTCAATTTTCAATTTAAAACGAAATTTCAATTTAATTTCCTTGCTGTTTATATATATATATATATATATACATTATTTTTATTTATGTTGATTTTTTCCCGTAGATTTGTTCAAATAATTTAAAACAATGATTACTATTTGTCAAAATATCAAATTAAAATTAAATTTTTTGCATATTGGCTTCAGTTTAAAAATTGACTATTATAGTTTGAATGATCAATTTATGTATATTCATTTTTAATAATTTTATTTTTAATTTTTAGTTATTCTAAATTTAAAATTTATAAAAAGAGGTAATAAAATTTGATTTTAATTTTATTTAGATATATACTTACTATTTATTTATACGATAAAAATCATATAAATAATAATTGGTTAGATTGTTACACTATAAAAATAAATTATAAAAATATTAATATACTATTAAATAATAAAATAATTTACATTATATAATGATACGATAAAAAATATATAAAATTTAAATAAAAATACTCCCTCCGTCCACAAATTAATTTTTTATTTTCTTATTTGGAACTTTGTATATTGTTATATTTCTTTTTTTTAAACACGAATTTTACATTTTTACCATTCATTTATTATTTATTATTATTTTTAATTTATACCAAAATTTGTCGATTTATAAAAAAAAAATAATTACTTTAAAAACCGTGCAAATATACTTTAAGACAATAGAAATTGGACGGAGGGAGTATATAAAAAAAATTAATTATTATTTTATTAATAATTATTTATTAGTACAATTTTAACCTACTTTAGACATCGACTGCCGCCGCAGTCAATTTTTTTTTTTTTTAAAAAAAGTATATAAATAATAGCTAACCGGCGGTCAACTCGTAAATCGGCGGGTTTGAGAAATACACAACCCGTCGGAATGACGGTTCAGTTCGAACCGATTGATTTGTACCGTAAACTCCGGTTCAAAACCGTCGGTTCAAACCGGATGGGCAAGTCTATTTTCACGAATAAAGTTTGGTCTGTGTTGGTTCACTTTTATATCGTCTTCTTTCTTCCTGCTCAGATCCTTTCTCGATTTCGTCTCTCCCGACGATTCTTTCTCAGTCGCTGCTTAGATTAATTCAAAGCTCTATTCATCTTCTTAATTCAAACTTTTGAAACCCTAGAATTTGAGTTGATCGAGTTGAGTTCCCAATTTTGGGGGAAAATTCGAAATGGGAGTTTGTACTTCGAAGCCCAAACCCTCTCCACAGCTCAATTACGATTCCTCGCCGGAGGGAGAACCGCCGGCGACGAACGGCGACGAAAATTCCAAAACCGTCGCTAATTTAGAGGATAATCGTAGGAGCGAAGAAAATCACAAAAAATCCCCATTCTTCCCGTTCTACAGCCCTAGTCCGGCGCATTACTTCTTCTCTAAGAAGTCTCCGGCGAGATCTCCAGCGCCGGGGAGCGGAACGCCGAGGAGGTTCTTCAAGCGGCCATTTCCGCCGCCGTCTCCGGCGAAGCACATCAAGGCGGTGCTGCGGCGGCGGCACGGCTCCGTGAAGCCGAACGAGGCGGCGATTCCGGAGGGGAAGGAGGTTGTGGAGACCGGCTTGGATAAGAGCTTCGGATTCTCCAAGAATTTCTACAGTAAGTATGAAATGGGGGAGGAGGTCGGGAGAGGACACTTTGGGTATACCTGTAAGGCTAAGTTCAAGAAGGGGGAGCTCAAGGGCCAGGACCTCGCTGTCAAGGTCATTCCCAAAGCTAAGGTATCGATAATCTCCCTCTTTACAGTTCATTCTTGTCTGAACTTGTTGGTTCCTGTCGTCGGAATTTCATCTGAGATCCTGATCTTCAATTGGCGTACGTTTATTTGTTGGGAAGATCTTGATTTTAAATCGATTTTCGATCCTGCTTAAGTTAGGGAGATTTTGATCAATTAGATGGTATGAATTATTACATTCAATTCTGTTGACTTCGATCATATGCAAATGGAGATTGAAGAAACTTGTAGATGTCCAATTGAAGATTCCATTAACGACTTTTAAGGAAAATTTCTTGTCCGAGCAATGCTGGCTCATGATTAGTATGATTTGAATAATTGGATTTGGATCGGCTTTTGTTGTTGTCTTTTTCTTACATTCGTTGCTGCCGGTGTTCTTGCTAGATGACCACTGCCATCGCAATAGAGGACGTTCGAAAAGAGGTGAAGATATTGAGAGCTTTGACCGGACATAACAATCTAATACAGTTTTACGACGCCTACGAAGATCAGGACAACGTCTATGTCGTGATGGAGTAGGTTTCGATTGCTTAATGTTGTCGCTTGTAATAATTTTCGAATATGTTTGGAGTGATCTTTGCTAAGGCTGTGGTTGTTGTCTTTTTGCAGGTTGTGTGAAGGAGGCGAGCTTTTGGATAGAATCTTGTCGAGGTAAAATCCTATACACGTCTTCCGAGCTAATCCTCGTTTGTTTTCATCAATTATTACCTAAATTGAAGCGCATTCATTACAGGGGCGGAAAGTTTCCCGAATGCGACGCGAAGAAAGTGATGATGCAAATACTGAATGTCGTCGCATTCTGCCATCTCCAAGGAGTCGTGCATCGGGATCTTAAACCAGAGGTACAAGCCATTCTATTCATTAATGTAGTATTCGGTAATAAATATTTTTTGGTTATTACAGTCAGTCTGTTCTAGATGTGTTGTATGAGAAATTGGGTTGGTAATATAAAAAATAATATTTTGTGTTGAATGGTTGGTTTTTTATGAGTGGATGATATATATATTATTAATGTGTGTGTCTATTTGTACTTTTTTAATAATATTTATGATAATTGTTCCATTGAAAAATACTGAGTGTAATAATTTATTTTGTTGTCGTGATCGAACTTTTTTTGTTTGGTGGTTCAGAATTTCTTGTTTACGACCAAAGAAGAAAACGAAAACTCGACTTTAAAGGCGATAGATTTTGGACTGTCTGATTTCGTCAAACCAGGTCTGTCCTTTATTGTCTTATTCTTTCGTGCGACCGCTGCAATAATTATAATTGTCGGGTTCTTTGCAGATGAACGGCTGAATGACATTGTCGGCAGCGCATATTATGTAGCGCCGGAAGTTCTACACAGGGCGTATAATACGGAGGCGGACGTTTGGAGTATTGGTGTTATAGCATACATATTGTTGTGCGGGAGTCGTCCCTTTTGGGCTCGAACCGAATCCGGGATTTTTCGAGCTGTAGTAAAAGCGGAACCGACGTACGAGGAACAACCTTGGCCAACTCTGTCTTCCGAGGCAAAAGATTTCGTCAAACGTCTTCTGAATAAGGATCCGCGGAAGCGATTGACGGCTGCTCAAGCCATGTGTAAGTGTTAAGTTTAGATATAGAAATTCGTAGCCGAGCATTGCTTGCCTAAAGATTTTCTTGCTTGCATTAGGTCATCCGTGGATCCGGAACACCATTGACGTCAAAGTCCCGTTGGATGTGTTGGTATTTAAACTTATGAAAGTTTATTTGCGGTCGTCTCCCCTTCGGAAAGCGGCTTTACGGGTGTGTATTTTTAACTTATAATGTATATATATATATATAATAGGCAAAATTGACCATAACTCTTTTGTGGTTTTGAAACTCAGCGTAAATATCTCATTTATTTTAAAAATTGCATGAAACTCCTATACTTTAAAAAATATTGCATGAAACTCCTCCGTGGTTTCGAAATTCAGTGTAAATCTCCGCTTTACTTTAAAAATTATATAGTGCCCCTTATACATTAAAAAATATTGCATGAAACCCTTCTGCCATGCAAAAATTATAGATAGAAAATCATATTCTCATCACAGGTTTCATAGTAGTGGGGTTTCATGCAACGTTTTTTAAATATAAAGGTGATAGGCAATTTTTAAAGTATAAGGAGATTTTAAACTGAATTTCGAAACCACATGAGCATTATGAACAATTTTACCTATAAAATAATTGCATATGTCGTATGCTCTAATTTATATGTATGTTGTGTTAATATATCTTGTGGAATGAGATCAATTGTAAGGTGCTGTATTTTTATTATGTAATATATATATCTTGTGTTGTCGGTTTATATTTTATATATTGTCGGTATATATTTTGTATGTTGTCGGCTGACAATTATAGTCCGTACCGTTAAATTTTCACACATATATATATATATATAGATTTGTTTGTTTTAATCTTGTTATGGTAATTTGTTCGATGTAGGCGTTGTCGAAAACATTGACAGAGGATGACATTTTTTACCTACGGGAGCAATTCACGCTGTTGGAGCCAAACAATAACGGGATGTTAAGCCTCGATAATATCAAAATGGTCGGTAGTCTTATACTCAACTTTTACGTTCTTTTTGTTAGAGCCAAAACTCTTACCGAATTCAGTCATTACCCGGTTTAGGCCTTGAAGAAAAACGCAACGGATGCCATGAACGAGTCTCGTGTTTTCGAGTTTCTTGCCACGGTGTGCTTCTTCTTCTCGATTAACTCCGTTTCGCCTTAGCATATTACGATAATGACCTAACATATTGTGTCCGATTCCAATGATGCATACAGCTGAGCGCGCTGCAGTACAGAAGGATCGATTTCGACGAATTCTGTGCGGCTGCGACGAGCGTTTATCAATTGGAAGCTCTCGACAGATGGGAACAGCACGCGCGATGCGCGTACGAGCTTTTCGACAAGGATGGGAACCGGACGATCATGGTTGAAGAATTAGCTTCGGTAAATCGACGCCGTTTTTAACCTACAAATATATTTTCCTTCTAGAAGTTACAAGAACCGATGAATTCAAACTTATTCCCGTTTCCCGTTTCCCGTTTTGTTGTCAGGAACTCGGCCTCAGCCCGTCTGTCCCGGTCCACGCCGTTCTCAACGACTGGATAAGACACACGGACGGAAAGCTAAGCTTCCTCGGATTTGTCAAGTTATTGCACGGAGTCTCCTCCCGATCCCTCGCCGCCAAAGTTCAATGATGCGATGATACATTGCAAACATCGTACTCTTACATCATCATCGTCCCTTGTTCTCAGCATTGTGCTGTGCAGACCATCGATATAAGAGATCCTCCCCAATGGAGTACCTTGTTTATAGGCACTCGATTTGATTCGATTCGGTTCGGTTAAGACGATTTGAGAGCATTGTTGAGTTCAACTGAGCTGGTGTGCAGTGTAAAGGAATGTCTTGTCGGATTGGTTTTTGGTCCGAGGGATTTACATAGGATATTCACACCCATATGTTATTACAGCATCCAATCTATATATATATATATATTTGTTCATATGTATGCATAACGTGTAATATATATATTTCGCTCTTTTTTTTTTCTTTTTTTTTTTTGTATAAACGTGGGAATTGGCGGCTGTTATGTTTTGAGTGCGCTTTCGATAAATCCAACTTACTTTCTTTTTCGTTTTTTTTCTTTTTTTTATGAATTGTCGCCTTTATATGTGTTTTCAAAGTATTTTAAAGCGTCTTTCTTTTGGGAATGAGTTTTTCAAACTTACCCACAGAAAGTATTTTAAAGCGTGTTGCAAGACAGAGGGTTTTGATTTTAATAATAAAATGTTGAATTTAAATAGTTATGTGATATGATATAAATATATATTTGATGTGATATTTTGAATGTAAAATTAGATTTGAGTGTAATAAAATAAATAAAAACGAAATGTTTCATTTGATATTTTTGAAAAAAAAATCAAAATAGGAAAATCAGGTGTAAACTCTACTAGTAAACACACTCAAAAGTATTTTTTTTGCTACGCTAGGATAACACTATGATTAGGAAGGAAAATAAAAATTCACTACAGAATATATCTCATTTTTTATTTCATATATTTATATTATTGCATTTATAATCTATTAAATCAATATACAATAAAATCTCTACAACCCAAAGAAAACATGTTAACCCAAATAAACACAATTTACTAAAATTATTTTAAATATCAAATCTAATAAAATTTGAGAATGATAAAGTTTCGATTATATATATATAGGGGGGAAAAATTAAAATTTGATCCCAATATAATAAATTATCAATTTTAGTCATATTACAAATAATTTTAATTAAATTTTATTTCATCATAAAAAAATTCACGGAAAAACAGATGGACTGAAGAGACTGGAGTTTAGGGACCAACATCTTCTTTCTTTACTGGAAACCAATATAAGAATCCTGTTCTATTGGAGGATTTCTCCAAATTTCTACTGTTTTCTAAATTGTTTTTCTATAAAAATATCAAGTTAAACCTCTATTGTATTTTTTATATTATATTAAAATTAATTTTACATTTAAAATATAAAATCAATACCTATTTATACATATTATACCACTATTTTATTTTAAATTTTTATATTCAAATTTCAAAACTAAAATCCAAATCTGCATCGATCAAATTATATGGGTATATTGTCAAAATGATCGAAAACCAAATATATATATATATATATATAATGACTTTCAAATTTCTTAATGCAAAAATTCTGAAAACATCCAAAATTTTAAAAATAAAAAACTCTATTTTTTTTTTTCTACTTCCGACGATGACGAAATAAATGTCATGATTTTTTATTTTTTATTTACGTAAAATAGTTCTAAAAACTTTTATAATTTTAATTAATAGTTCAACCATTTTTTACTGAACATATTTTTGGTATTTTTTGTCCAATTATAAAATATACATATTTCTATTTTGAGACGTCAGTTACAAAGTAAATATTTTATTAAATACTTCATTTTTTTTTTTTACAAATACCTTTATTTTACATCACATTATTATTTTTATAAAAAAAAAAAAACAAGGACAAAAAATTAATTTGTGTTTAATTTGTGTGAACGGATAGAGTAATATCTTAATTATCTATTTTGATATTATTCATAGAGTTTAAATCTATAGTAGAAAAAAAATAAATTTTAATCTAAATATAAAAAATTTATCAATTTTCACCTCAATATAAATTATTTCAATCAATTATAATCCTATAATTCAAAAATTATCTTAAATTGATGACATGGGTTCAACAGAAGTAATGCGAAGGAAACACAGCTGTGTACATTAGAACATGTCTCTGTTAACAAGCTAAAGATGGCCTTCTTGTACTTCGATTCAGCTTGAGTTTGTTTAATTATAATTTAAAATCAAATAAAATATAATATTAAGTTAAAAATATTATTTAAATAATATTTAATAAAAAATAATAATATAGTACTACTTTTTATTAAAAATTATATAAAAGGAATAATATTATTTTTAATTTAAAATGCTACTAAAAATTATTCATTTTAAACTAATGTTTGACTCTAGTCATTTGTTTTAAACCCATAATTTCTTTCCTTTTCTCTTCTTCGACTTCTTCGCTCGCCTGTTCTCCTTCTTCTTTCTTCCCCCTTCCTTCTCCTTCTACGTTGCGCCGCCGCCTTTCTCCCGGCGGAGACGAAGTCCGCCGCCGCCCCCGCTGGAACATCGGTGAGTTTGTTTTATTTTATTCTTCTTTTTTCTTTTAACTTCTGATTCTTTCTCTGCTTCTTCTCTTCTTTTTTTGAAGGAAATAGAGTTTATTTTAACAAATTTGTCATCTTTCTTAGCATTTATTTATTTTTTTCTCAGTTTCTTCCGCCTGTGGTCGCCCCCGCCGTCATTTCATTGTTCTTTGGTTGAGCGGGGTGGAATGTGTTTTTCGAATTCGTTTTAAACAAATTCGGTATAACCGGCCTACCGAAAATTGCACATATTGAATTTTCGGTATATACCGTACCGGTGTCCGTAGAAATCTTCACATAAAGCTGAAACAAAGCAGCGAATCTTCTAAAGAACAACCTTTTAAGGTAAAACAATCCTCGGTTCACTTCTTGTTGAATGCATAGGTGATTGTATTCTGTTTAGCTCAGTTATCTAGAGTGATTTTGGTAATTGATTGCATGGCTGTTAGACTTAGTTGTGGATAATCAGATGTTGAAAGTTGATTCTTTCATTAGTTGTGTTTCGTTTGGAGGGAGTATCTGTGTTTCAGCTCTTAACTACTTTAACTTGTTAAACAAATATATAGCTTAATAATGTTTCGTTTTGCAGTGTATGCAGCTATACAGTAAACAATAAAACGAAAAGATAAAAGGATGTACGAAGGTGTTGTGAGACAATCGATATTTGGATATTTGGGACAATGCATCAAAGGCATTAATAAAGAGCAGCTCAGGGATGCCATATGGAATGGTAATCCTTTTGTTGTTTTTGGCATTATTCTTGTTATCATTGTTGTTACCATTATTTTATGTAATTTGCACCACTTCCATTTTAATCCAGTTCCAAACGCATGGCTTTCCAGTGCGTTAGCCCCTGTGTGGGTATCCAGAGCTTTGATGGATTTGAAACAAGATCCTGTGTTGGCAATGAGGTTATTCAAGTGGGCTGAAACCCAGCCTGGGTTTCGACTTGCAGCGGAGAACTATTGTATCCTTGCTCAAATTTTATTCTGTTCAAGAATGTATGCTGATGCTCATAGTGTTCTAAAACAATTGGTTACGTTGCATAGAAGCAATAGAATAATTGCCGTACCAAATCCTTGTTGTTCCATATTTGATGTCTTATGGTTGACAAGGAATACATGTACACCTGGTTACGGAGTGTTCGACACATATTTTAGTGTTCTAGTTGAGTTAGAAATGCTTGAGGAAGCTATGGAGTGTTTCTTGAGGATGAGAAACTTCAAGGTTCTACCAAAAGCTCGTTCTTGTAATATTCTTTTGCATAAGTTCTCAAATGCCTCAAATGGAGCATTGGCAAAGAGATTTTTCAGTGATATGTTTGAGGCTGGAATAGCACCATCAGTTTATACTTACAACATAATGATTGGTATTTCATGTAAAGAAAGGGACTCGAAAGATGCAAGAAGCTTGTTTCAAAGGATGAAGGAAATGGGTATCCTTCCAGATATTGTTACTTATAATTCACTTATAGATGTTCATGGGAAGCTAGGGGAGTTGGATGAAGCGGTTTGCATATATGAAGAGATGAGAATAGCAGGGTGCTCTCCCGATATTTTTACATACAATACATTGGCTAATTGCTTTTGTAAATACGAAAATTTACCCATGGCATTCCATTTTCTTAGGGAGATGAAGGAAAAATCTATTAAACCTGATGTCGTAACTTATAGTACATTTGTTGATGCTTTTTGTAAAGAAGGAATGCTGGGGCATGCTATTAAGTTTTTTGTTGACATGAGGCGTGTTGGTTTGACACCTAATGAATATACTTATACTTCTTTGATTGATGCTAGCCTTAAGCTTGGAAATATTGATGATGGACTGAAGTTTGTAAAAGAAATGTTTGAAGCTGCTCTGAAGTTGAATATCGTCACCTATACAGCATTAATTGACGGCCTATGCAAAGGTGGGAAGATGCTGGAAGCAGAAGAAGTATTTGAGGCTATGCAGAAAGAGGGGATTGTTCCGAATGAGAAAACACTTACAGCTTTATTACATGGGTACCTTAAAGCTAAAAGGGTGAATGATGCTCTTAGGATTCGGGAGAAAATGAAGGAGAATAACATCCAACCAGATTTACTTGTTTATGGAACTATGATTTGGGGGCTTTGCAATAGTGGAAAGTTCGATGATGTGAATGAGTTGCTGGATGAAATGAAGCAGAATAATATAGAACTTAGTGCAGTGATATATTCGACACTCATTGATTGGTATTTCAAGGCAGGAAAAAGCTTAGAGGCTCAGAACCTACTTAAGGAAATGAAGGAACAAGGTATGGTTCCGACAATTGTGACTTATTGCATGCTTATTAGTGGCTTGTGCAGAGAGGGATATATTGAGGAGGCAACAACTTATTTTGATTATATGAAAAGTGCTAATTTGCAGCCTAACATCATTGTTTATACATCGCTGATTGATGGTTTTTGTAAAAATGAATGCCTTGACGATGCTGAGAAACTATTCCTAGAAATGTCTGAAAAGGGCATGATTCCGGACCAAATTTCTTATACATCTTTGGTTGGTGGATATATGAAGATCGGGCGCATTCAGGAAGCCTTGGAATTGGCAAAGCAAATGACAGAATCTGGTTTGAAATTTGATCTTGTTATGTACACAACTTTAATCTCTGGGCTTGTAAGATGGGATGAACTTCAGCAGGCAAGAGATTTGCTTGATGAGATGATCGAAAAAGGTGTTGAGCCAGATGAGATTGTGTATGCTTGTCTGATACGTAAGTATCATGCTCTCGGAAATAGGAAAGAAGTTGATTTTCTACTAAATGAAATGATGGAAAAATGCCGTGCTCCTATGAAAACCGAGCTGTTGCTGAATAAAATCTATAATCAAGTGGAGTGATTGCAAAGGTTCGTGCGCTTATTGTTTGGGAGCTTCTGGATGACTTCACAAACCTGAGTTGGCTTGAACGGACTATAAAGCATGGGAGTATGACCACACTCTCTCTGTGTATGGAGGTAAGCACTAAATTGTCATGAACTATACTTGCTTCTATTCATTTCATATATCATTTAATGTTATGGACTTAATTCCGAGTTCAACCTATCATAGTTTGATGGTATATTGTTAAAAGATGTATTGTTTCTTGCCTGCATATGGAAAGTAGCTTGAAGAACTGCTGAGTTTGTATTTTCTTGTTAAATTGTCATTATCTCGTCTTGTGTAGCTTTCTTTTGTGGAGATATGGTGGTGGTGTCAGCCACTTTTGCAAATGTCCATGGAAACTATTTGAGAAAGTTTTTCCTGGAAGCAACACAAGCTGTACTTTGCAACTGGGCTAAAAGTGCTGAGCAATACGATGAAATAGTCAAGTTTCTTTTATGGTTGCCAAGAATCTTGGTGGTGCTGTGCTGCCTTGGTGGCTTACGAGAATGTGATTGGTGCTAGGAGGGCATTATGCAGAATCATGTCTTCCATTGAGCAGAAATAGAGAGTCTGTATAAATGATAATCTGCGGGGATCAATCTTCTGTAATACTTTGGTAAGATTGAGGCTATGTAATAGAATTTTAAGGCTTCTCGGGAGCGATTTTTATTCCTTCTGCCTCATCCTCTGAGTCCAAGGTATCTATTTATTTATTTATTTATTTATTTTCGTGATTCTGCATGTAGGAGTTATAAAAATGTTTCTTGTGCAGAATGTTGCTGTGTCAGTGGATCAGGCTGGGGCTTGCAGTAAATTCTCTGTTTTCTGTTTGAGATACGTTACTCCCCAGACAGCACTTGCAAAACTCGCAAAAAAGGTATGCCAATATGGTCATTCGACATTAAATGTATTTTGAATTTGGACTGCCCGAATAACCATCGTTGCACTTTATCAGTGTATGATGTTACTGATTAAGTAACATTTCCTATGGGAATCAAAGTTCGTTTGGACCTTTTTCTTATATTTCAAATTTTTAACAAAGAAGATGAATACACTCATTTGTCTATCTATTTATTAATTTTATACCTTTCGTTATATTTCTGCTATGTTTCCAGCTCCATTTGTGTGTCTATTCACCAAGTCGGATTAGTCTTTTTCATGCCTTCGATGAAACAATTTGATCACCATAACAACTTATGACACTCTGGTTTTGTGTAGTGGTATGGTTGTGCTGATAACCAATATTTCATAGATAATATACATCAATTTATTCCAAGGACCCGAAAACAAGATAAATTTAGTAAATCCACCATCTATTGATAAAAGCCATTTGCTATGCCTAATAATGTATGTACTATATGACTGTTTTATTTTTCTGGTAACTAATCAGGATGATGCTGGGGATGTGATCTAGGGAATCAAGAAAGGCAACTGGACGATATTGATGAATATACTGCCAAGGTATTGCACATTTATAAATCCTTTGTATTTTTATCTATATTGTGAAATTATAATTGAAGGCCTAGGATGTGAAGGATTTTGCATCAACATGAAGCCTTTCTCTATTTGAATGTGCATAATATGAAGTATAGAATATACATTGCAACTCAGTTTCTACTATTATTTACTATCTTTAGATTTTGACTCTAGGATTAAGAATGAATGAACATGAGATATTAGAATGTCCATATAAATTATAATGCTTAAATATTTTATAAATGAAAACTATAAAGAATGGTAGAACATACCAAAGTGAATTGGCAGTTTTTGTCTCATATGCCTTGGCTTTTCCAAACAATTTTTTTGGCCCTTGTCGGCACTTAGTTAGCATTTAAATATGTATTTAGCCATTGTGTATTTGTTTCAACTTGATACTTATGTTTGGTAACCGTGAATTACTGCATAAAATTTTTGATGAAATGAGTTGTATTGATCTAAATTAGCCTCATTTATGGCGCAGGATTGTAATATCTCTGCAGATTAGTAATCGTAGATTGTTAGTTAAGGCAACTACTAAGCAATTTTGTTAGAAAACAGAGTATGGAGGATTGAAAATCAGTTTCTTATTTGCAGTGTTATGTTTTCTTTTCAGATTTGATTTGTATTTCAGGAGAAATCCCTTTCGGAGGGGAGTACATGGTTTGGAGGAGTGGATTAAATTAATTGCTAACTTTAGATTTACAGAGGATGAAATTGCTTTTATAAAGCGTCGTTGCCGCCTTCATGTGAGGTATTGGTTGTATACTTACTTTCCACTGTGTTCATCTCCATGAGTGCAAGTTTCTGAGAGAAACATACGATTATTTGTGTTGAGGTCAAGCATGAGATATGTGTGTGGTATTCGGAATGGAACACTAGTGTAAAACGAAAATTAAAATTGGAACTCATTTTTCCTATCATAATTCTACTTGCATTAAATTTGACCTCTTTGTATTTTATCGAAAGCATGTTATTTTTGTATCCGGAAAAATGTTGATTAGGAAATTTGCATTAAAGTTATCATGTGTTTACATGACAACTGTACTGAAAGTTCAGATATGTTGGCTGATGAATGTCTGGCTCTAGGATGGCTTTTTTGATTATCTTTGAGGATTGGATTGTGAGGATATGGAGATACATACAATTTCTGAAGGATATGTTGTATTTCCCAAGATACCTATGATGAGGATTGAGGGGCCAGTAACTCTAAGTACCTCTTGGACGGCACATTTTGGATCTGTATTATTTAACCCCAATACATATATATATATATACATATTGTCTATCTTATTAATAATATTTGTAATTCTTGGTAACTAACGACAGTTTTTCTGTTAAGGTGGTTCAACTCCTCGAAATTTCTCTTGTCAATCTCATAAATTATGCATCCTTAGTAGCGACAAATGCTGCACGCCATCGTTTCGTTGCTGAGAAGTCTAAGCTTCTTCTTGAATTTGGATTGCGGAGGGCACAAGTATTGAGTTATTTGTTTTATTCTCTGTAGATTTCTCATTTTATTAGAGTATAAATAAATGTTTGTCTTGTTCTGCTGCAGGGCCCTGATGGGGTATAGGAGCATCAAAATATTGCTAATAGGGCGGATTTGATGCCACAAGGTGATTTTTTGGTGAAATCAAAATGCTGTTTCTACTCATAATTTATAGATTCTGATATTTGATAGTCCATTTTCTTATATCAATATTCGTTGTGATGAATAACACCTGTAACATAAGCTCTATAGTATATGATAACTAACTGAAAGAAAAACTGCAAAACATACCTCTTCCACATCGAAACTATATTGGTTAACAATTTCTTCTTTTCTACTTGGCATTTAGCTGCCTGTTAATTCTGAAAATTCTAGAGTAAGGTCATTTATATTTGCTTTTGGTTTTGACAGCAACATGGCTCCTGGAAAATTATTTGGAATACCACTCCGGGGAACACATTCTCAGGCGTTTGTCAGCTCATTTATGGTATATACACTTACTGTGCATTCCAAGTTTGGTTTCCCAGAAGCTAGCTTTTCATTTTACCGTGTATTTTTTTATTTTCTCCCTTGTTCTGCATTTTGCAAGATGCTATATTTTTAGAGACATTTATTATGAGCAGAATATGGTCCCTTTCTATTGGTTATGATTATGTACTTCCATTCCTGTTATCATCATTTGGAAATATATACATTTCTCTATATGTGCCTTTATATTTGTAGTATTTGGATACCATTATGGAGAAGATTAGCTTTGCATGTCGACTTCCATGCACCTTCCTATTTTACTTTGTAGCAATATCGGAGGAAAAATATTCTCTTTTTTTTGGTATGGTTATTTATTTTTTTGGCAAAGTATTTGCTTTCTTATTCTCCAGAACATTGGAATGGTAAGAATGAGTTTCATAACTGATTGGCTTTGATTGAGCAGAGTTTATTGTCTATCTATTGCATTGTTGTTCTATTCAATTTTCTCTAACCTGTCCTTTCTCTGATATATATACATGATCTGAGTAAGTCAAATTATTCTCCAGAGCCCTGATGAGATTACTGAGAAGTCACTTCTGAGCAAGGATAGATCAAAAATTTGCTCCGACTTTGTTAGTTTGGTGCAGACATGGTTAAGGGACTTGAAGGTTTGGTAGATATTCTCTTTACTTTTTTAGTGATGAATTATAAAATTTGAATCTGTTCATGATGCAATAGGTAATGAGTTTGAGTTCATGGCTATTATTTCAAGTAGTACATGGTTGTCAAGTTGGGTTTTTTGTAGGCTGCTAGTTAGATATCCATGATTTTAAAAGATTCACAACCAATACTGTGCAATATCCAATGCTCTACCTGTTTTTTTTATATGGTTTTCATGCAATGATGTTGTATTAGTGTGCATTATTAGTTTCAGCTATGTCTCAACAGTTCTTGAAGGTTTCTTGAAAGCTTTTTACACTGGTATTCCATCATTTGTTCTCGATAGGATTTCTATCGGCGTATGTGTTTTGATCAGGTGGGGTAATGAAAATATACTGACGATCGATTTCTTGCAGCTCTCCCGGAGTAGAATTAGCCATTGCAGGTGCAGCATCCTTTTGCGAAGCTGTGTTCATCTTTGCGATTGATTTTTTTCAAGAATTCCATCTAAAGCAGCTGATTTTCCTCGGAAGATTAACTCGTTCCAGGTTGTCCGGATACTCTAAATTTCGAGCTCCCACACAGCAAGAACACTATTGTTTTTTAGAAGAACTCGCCATTGGACTATCAATTCCACAATACTTCTTGGTATCACCTAAATCATCTCGAACCATTGTAAAATTTCATTTCAAATAGCTGACATTGTAAATCACAATGTGGGTTTACTTGTGAGGTTTTGCTTCTTATTTATACTATGTCAATTTTGTTTTCCTTTCTAAAAATATTAAATCAAACATCTAATTTTTATTTATTTTATTACAATAAAATTTAATTTTATATTCAAAATATTATATTAATATATATTTATATTACATCAAATAATTATTTTAATTTAAAATTTTATTATTCAAAATCAAAATTCAAAACTAAAATCTCACAGGTAATAAAACCAAAATACAAATTAATACAAGGTTTGTTGTTTTTTTTTTTCCTTTGATTTTGATTTGAATAGTGATTTAGATGTGATGTTTTATATATATATATATTTATAAATTATATAAAAAAAATCATAATAATTATATGGTAGAAACGGGTGAGTTTGATTTGTGAGATTTTTGGGAAAAAAAAAATTTACGTGATTACGAAGGAACAAAGCGTAAGTCAAACCAAATTTAAAAAGTATGGCATTTTTTTCTTTTTTTTAAAAAATTCTATAATTGTTGATAAAAGGTAAATTTAATTATAAAGTATACATATTCTTTCTTTCTTAATATAAACCATAGAGCATAATCAAAGATTCTGTCCTTTTTTAAAAAAAAAATAAAAATAAAAATCATATATATACATATGTATGTATATTATAAATGAATAATTTTTAAATTCAAAAAAATTAGATTCATCAAATAAGCATCACCCAGGGCCATTCTCTCGACGGGCCATAAAGAGCTCCAATAATATATATATATATATATACTCCTATATATTAATATATATATTATTATTATTATATTTTGTAGCATGTATAAAATAAAATTTAAATAAAAATTTATTTTATAATTATTTTTTAAATAAATTATTTTTATATTAATTTTTAGATTATTTATTTGTATGTTTTAGTGTGTTTATTTAATGGTATGATTTTATATTTTTTGTGAATTATGTAAAATTAAAAAGATATGACATAGTAATATTTTTGTGTTCTTATTATTTTTATTTTTATGTTTATATGTTTAAATTTTTATATTTTATTATATTTTTTAGTAGTAGTTTTAAAAATTTGTGTATTATATAAACATTGAGTTTGTTTATTTAATCTAAATTTTCTAATTTTTACTATTAGAACTATGCGTTTCTCTCTCACAAACATTTCATCAAACATTATTTTAATATCAAATTCAAACCAAATTTTTCCCTAAACCAATCAAAAGAAACAAACCCTTAATAGATATTTTTGTTTGAAAATTTTCTTTTAAAGACTTTTGATTGTTTATAAAAATATTCTTTAAAAAATATTAAATCAAATATTTTTTTTAATTTTTTATGTTATACTAAATATGTCACATTAATTTTATATTTATATTTTGATCTTTTAATATATAAAAAATATTTTATTAATACATTTATATTAAAATATATTATTATTATTATTATATAAGAAATATATTTAAGGGTCCAATATTCTAATTTTGCCCCGGGCCTAATAAAGGTTAAGAACGGCCTGAGCATCAGAATATATACGGTTCTGCAAAACTGTTGAGATAAGTTCCCTGTGCCACCGTATTTTAATTTAATTACTAAATACATATATCTATATATTTATATTTCTTTTGATGGATTTGGGGAAAATTTGATTTAAATTGATACTAAAATAATGTAAAATGAGATATTTTAAGAAAGAAAAAAATATATTTTTTTTCGAAGTATGCAGAATCCAAATAGTTAAAAACCTAAAGTTTGAAGACAAAAGAAACACTATAAGATATTAATTTTGATCTCTTAATATTTGAAAGCAAATTTGAAGACATAGACATAGACAGGTAGATAATATAAAAATAATAAATATATTTAATATATTAATATTTTAAAAAAAATATAAAAAAATCAAAGAAAACACACAGAGTTTTAGAAATAGTAAAACATTAGATAAAAAATATATACTGTAAGTGTTTGGTGTGATATTGTAGAAAAAATAGAACTTTGTTTATACATAAATTTTTGAAAATTTTGATATTATTTGTCAACAATAATGGGTCTGTTCGCGCAACAATTTTTATGAATTGTGATTCTAAAATATAATATTTTATATTTTTATATAATTTTTTATATCACACAAATAAATAATTTAAAATAAAACTTAAACATTTAACAAAAAAATTAAAAAATTCATTCAATTAAAATAATATTATATTTTATATTTTCAATACAATTATTCGTACCACACCGTGAACATATATAATATATTCATTAAATATCACATAGGTGATTAGCAAGTAATTGATAATTTGTACAACCAATTTAACTAGATACGTGTTTGTTTGAGGTTTGGATTTTGAGTTAATATTTGAATAGTAAAAATTTTGAATTTGAATTGTTGTATGATGTGATATAAATAGAAATTGACGTGATATTTTGAATGTAAAATTGATTTTTAGTATAATATAAAAAATAAAAAATAGGTGTTTAATTTGTTATTTTTTGAAGAAAAAAAATTGGATGAATAGTATGTTTAAAATCCAAATCCGAACAAAAAACACCCTTAATTTCGCAATCGAATGTTCATTGAGCTATGGTAGATTTACGTGGCTACGTATGCACAAGTAGAGAGAGTTGTGTATTTATTTAGAATTTCCAAGCAATCATATTTCATTGGAACTAATAATACTTTTGCTTTCAAAATAAATAAATAAAACATCTAGTAAATATTAATATTTTTATTATTTTTAATATATATATATTTTTTAAATTTTAAAACTTCATAAACTTTACTTTCTCACACTAAATTCATATTATTATTTTTTTAGTATTCCATTATATTTATATATGATTCATTTATAGTAAACAATTTTATCGATTCAAAATTTTATAATCCACACTTTAATGAATAATTATAAAATAGCCATTATTTCTTCTACTTACGATGTCATATTTTTATTAATTTTAATAATTTTTTTTATAATATCTCAATTTTATTATATATATATTATTTTAATATTAAAATATTATTATTTTTTAATTTTGATTCTCCGTGCCCAAACAAACTTACATAATTTATCGGGATGAAGGGAGAATTTTAAATGGAGCCTAAGGGTTTGTGTGGTTTTTATTTGAATTTAAAATTTGATTTAAATAATATATCGATATGGTTTTTAACAAGATAAAATAAATATTTATTTGTTAAAATAATTATCACTCCCTTGTTAAGAATAAATTTCTTATCTGATTTTTACATGTGAATTAAAATAAATTAATATATTATAGATATTTAAATATAATAAATGAGTGTAATGTTATTTTACCTTTAATATTAAAGTAAAAGTAGTGTGAAAAAAAATTTATTTAATTAATAGTTACCTTTATTAAAAAACAGAAAATTTTGAATTAGACAGAATAAAATGTTTTTAAATGAAAAAAAATAAAAAATTTACTCTTAGATAGAGCGAATATTAATAAATAGTAACAAAAATATTTGAAAATACAAGTTCCGGTAATTATGAGGGATGTTGTATTATGTGAAATGACAAACCTCTTTTTTAATCTATTTTTGGTATATGAACAACTCCGGGCTGACGCCATTTTGGAAAATCCGAAGTTAACCGATTTGCTTACTTTTGTTGTATTAAAATGCATCTCATACAAGTTGAAATGAGACAAACAAACTTGTCTCTTGAAAAGGACATGCATGAGAAGTCAATGGTTTGTCTCTCTCGTTTTGTACGATATTAATTGTCTCGTATCATATACACTATTTAAAATATGCATACAAATCATATTTGTCTTGGACTGCAGAGTGTGTATTATTTTTGGATGTAAATGTTTGAATCAGGTGATGTTCAAACACTTCATGAGCGTTGAGAGGTGCATTCATGGAGTTTTGAAGCTAATAAAAAGGAGTTCATGGAATCGAAATCGAAGTAGATAACCAACTAGTATGTCATCTTACTCTTAGTTTGACTGCTGGTCTACCGGAGTCGTTACCGAGTTGTAACAGTCAGTCCATTTGAGTTTATAAAACGATATGGAGTTTGGTTAGAGGATTGGTCGGATAAATTTTTTTGGTGTCTTGGATAGTATAAACCAAATGTTTGGTTTAATTAAAGACTCCTAGATTATAATCTCTCAGACGTAAATTTGAATATCGAATTGAGTAAACAAATAGCGTGTGATGTACCGTACAGTATTTAGAAATTTCTAATCTCATACGTTAATTAATATTTTTTATATTTTGAATTTTACTTTTGTTTGTTGAAAAAATACATCAACAACAATATTATATATATAATATTTAAGCACGGGGTTGAATGGCGTCGGCCCTGTAAGAATGGCCGACACCGGGGCTAGGTCCGTCAGGTAGCTTAAACCCCTCCATTTCCGCAGTCCGGGAGCTCAAGTCCTGGACATCCGGAATCCGGCTGCCCTTGGGGAAGAAATGTCCTACTCCGGGACTGTTTCCTTGGACGCCTGTCATTCCCGCCGCCGCCATCTGTCTCCGATCATTTATTACAGCAGCTGTTTTGAATCCGATGTCGTTCATGGGCCTTCCTTCCATCAATGCGGCCGCCGCCATAATTAGCACCGCCGCCACTAGCAGAAGGTTCTGGAAGACACCGACAGCCGCCATTGACAATGGACCGGACCGGACCGGACCGTAATTAATGTGATAATTAGCTGTAATAAATGGGAGAACGGGTATACGTCTGTGTGCACTATGTGTGTGAATTATGAGCCTGGGAATGCATTGTGAACGGCTATTTATAATGCAGATCAGGTGCCGAATAAAAATATTCAGCACCTATGCTGTCGGCTTAAAATTAATTATAATAATTATATTAACAATATAAATTAATAATACAAATTAAATATTAATTTTCTTAAGGCATTTAGCATCGATGTTAAAATATTTTTATCAGCCCATGATCCTTGGCCGCTATTTATAGATGGAATCCATCTTGACAGATGAAAATACAGTTTTGTTAATTAATACAAAGTATTTTTTATAAAAATTAAAAAGTATAAAGAAAATTAAAATAATCCTTTA